ATTTATGGGAATTGTACCATGATAATGTAGGCGCTCTTAATTAAAAGTACTCTCTCTGTGCCAATAATTTTTTCACTTTTTCTACAAATTAAGAATTTAGAGATAATTTCTCCAGTATCTGTTAATAATTCCGGTGAAAAACTTGAAACAAGTCCACTTGCCGAGCCTTTAATCTGGTAACCGGTATGTCATTTTCATGAAATCTGCAAAAGTTGAGTTTGAAAAAGGTCTTGGATTTGTTGGATTTGTTAGTTTAAGGGTTTTAGATTGGAAACGAGACAAGGTGCTGCTGAATAAAATGAGAGCGAAAAACAATGCACATCCCTAGAGGGCTTGTAAAGGCAGTTAAGGGGATGGAGGCGGCAGCAGTAGAGGAAGGATCAGCAGAGGATGAAGAGGCAGAAAGAAACGGTAGAGAATGAAGAAACAATCATGGCAACCTAAATATTCACTGTTAGAAACCGATGTAAACAAATGAAGCTATGTCATTCACACTTTGTTTGGATTGGGAAAGTTGAAGGAAAAGGAGAGTTTGGATTGGGAAAGTTGAAGGAAAAGGAGAGGAGAATGAGAGGAAAAAGCATCTTCAATTGTTTAAATAAATAATTTTAATAAAAGAAAGAGATAGAAGGAGACGAAATTTCTTTCTTTCTTTCTTTTGTTTTCAATTCCTCTGATATAAAGGAATTGAAACTAATTATATTATTTAATTTATTTTTATTTTTAATTTTTTTAAAATAAATAAATATAAATATTTTATTTTAACTATTTATTTAATTAATAAATTTTAAAAATTTTATTTTTGTTTATTTTATTTTTTATTAAAATATTTAATTAAATAAAAATATAATCTTTTCTTTTCTTTCACTTTTATGTTTTATCCATCCAAGCAAAACTAATATCAACCTTTTTTTTCCCTTCACTTCTCATCCCTTTTCTTCCTCTTCCCTCCCCTCCCCTCCCTTTCATTTACTTCTTTTATCCAAACATAAGCTTAATTTTTTTTTCCTTGGGTCCTATTTTTGTCCTCAAAAAACCGGGCTAAGAAAGAAATAGTATGGTATTATCATCCAAAAATGATTAACTTCAACTTCGTTTGAAAGTGTTTGTGCTGTTATTTGGGATTTTTTTGTCTTTCCAATCCAAAAAGTATATGAAATATTAATTAATATTAATTATTTAAAATGAATTCATATTTTTAAGTAATGTGTGATGAAAAAATTTACTGTGTGCAAAACTCCCAACCGAAGCTGTAGTCAAATTGGAACTCACAAGCTTCTAAAGCTTATTTTTGATTCCATGTTAGGGGTTATGCATTTGGATTCCATCAATAAGGAGACAGCAAGGCACTACTTAAATTTCCTAAAGATCATTGTCATGGTAACACAGTCAACCAAACTAACAATAAAACTAGAAATGAGACCATGGAAAGAGAGTAAAAAGACAAGCTACCGTTACAAACATCAGCATCCCTAGTAAGCCGAAAACAAAAAATTAGCATTCCTAGCCCTTGCAACAAGCAAAACCACAGATCTTATTATTTGTTTGGGCTCCTAACAAAGTAGTTCGATGCACATATTCTTGATGCACCTGATCCTTGATGTAATCCCTGTTGACAAAACATAAAACAATAACGGTTAGTAGAGCAGCATTTATTGACACAAAGGCAGGAAAACTCAGAAGCAATCCTTTAATTTTAGGCTCCCAGGGAATCTGCTAAAAGTCATCTAAAAAGGTTGAGCACCAGAGCAGTATTATGAATGCAAAATGATACAAACACCAGGATTTGAATGGAGAGGCCACTTCTAGACATCTATATATGAATCTTATCCTACATGCTGCTAAACATAAAAAGTCACATTTAACATACACATTATCAGGATCAGTTACTGATCAAAGATGGAATGAAACAAAAGTAGGACGTAAGATATTTCAATGCAAAATGTTAATACTCACAATGTGCTGATGTCCAACACCTTACAATATCTCTTTGCAAGTGGATTTGTTGTGTCCAAGACCTTTGCATCTACTGCACTGGAGTTGACGCTTTATTATCTCAAGTGATCCAGATTTCTTTTTGGTAGGCCGGCCTGGTGGACGTCGAGTTGGAGGAGGGGTTACAGTCACTACAACTTGTGAAGAATCTTTCTGGCGAGGCCGGTCTACATCTGGAAGAGGATTTATAGATTCCGAATATGTTAGCCTATAGCTCTCCGTTGTGAAGTATCTTGCACAATAATCGTATGGGCTCCGCCCTGTACAGCTGATAACAGCAATAGCATGGGAGCATGGTAGACCAGTAAGCTGCCAATCTTTGCAACTACAATCCCATCGATCCATATCAACTACTTCAATGGACTCACCACGGACCTCAAAAGTGTTACCAGAAGTCAGCATCACCTGAAGGGAACGGACTTTCAAGCTTTCTTTCTCCAGTTTTTCCTCCATGGATGGGGTCAGGCGTGTCAACCACTGACCAGATTCTGCTCGCCGAGTATAAACTAACTCCATAATCTTTTCCCTTATGGCATCAACCATCTGTGTTATTGGTAAATCATGTGCATCTGAAGCCCAACTGTAGAAGAGCTCCCCAAAGTTTGATGTCAAATGATTATATCTTGAACCCTGGAAAAATGCATTTGCCCAATTCTGGGGCTCACTTTCTATTATCCAATTGTAAGCCTCCAGTGAAATACTTTTGATGCCCTCAATGCACCTCTGGAATCCTTCAGGTCTAGGCGCAGAAGCTGCAGTATATAAATCATCAATCATGAGCCGTTTCACCTCATGAGAAAACTGTCCTTTCAAGTCTCTAATAAGCTGGTCGGTTAAGTACCGAAGGCAATAACCGTGATATGAATCCTTAAATATCTCAGAGATTGATTCCTTCAATCCTTTCCGTCTATCTGCAACAAAAGTTAAAGGACAAGTAGATGACAGTGCTGATTTCAATTGTTGCAAAAACCAATACCAGTTATCAGCAGTTTCTGCATCTACGACTGAAAAAGCAACAGGAAATACAGCATCATCACCATCTGCAGCAGTAGCAGCCAACAATGTCCCCTGATATTTGGACTTCAATGGAATACTATCAAGAAAAAGAAGAGGCCGACAACCTTGCAGGAAGCCATACAGAGAGGCATGAAAAGAAATAAAGAGACGGTGGAAACTTGAATCTTCCTTGGTGGTAAATGTGGCAAGACTGCCAGGATTGGCCTCCATTATCCTCTCACAGTAATAGGGCAACTGCTTATATGCCTCTTTGTATGAACCCTGAAGCTGCTCCCTTGCAACTTCTTTTCCACGCCAAGCCTGAAAGTAGTTGAGTTGAACCCCGTACTCTTGTTTTATGTCATGGACGATATCCTTGGGCTTGTAGTTTGGGAAAGCTTTTAATTTCTCCTTAATGATACTAGCCACCCAACTCCTAGTAGCCTGATTCCCACCAGTAAGAGCTCCCCCATCACAGGTATGCGTTGGGTTCATCTTTTTGATACATATTAGTTGAGTGGTTGTCAACCTTGATGCATGAATTCTCCAAGGGCAGCCTTCTGTTTTGCATTTAACAGTCACACGATGACTATCATTCTTTTTGTACCTAAAAGCAAACTGATTTGCAAGTGCATATTTACGTAGTGCTTCACGAAATTCATTAACGCCATTGAATCTTTGCCCCACTCCTGTGATAGCATTCTGCCACTGTTGTGCAGCTTTTACATGTTTCTCTTCATTGGAGTGAATAAGAGAAAGTGAGGCTGAGATTTCAGGAAGGACAATTTGCACGTCATCTATATGCGCCACAACATTGTTAGTGCCATCATTAACATCAAGAGGGGCACCAAGAGAAAAATTAGGTTGATTGGTGTCACTAACAATGTTGTCCATAACATCAAGGGGAGGATCAATAGGAGGAACTGCTTCTGACAAAGTTGTCCTACTTGACCTATAAAAACAAAGAATTCCCACAATTAGGCCAAGAAAACAACAATGAAAAAAGAAACTTTAGAATAGATTTCAGGAAAACTACCTACTAGCTGGCATGTTAGAAACATCAGGTGTTTCCATCATGATGTACACATCAGTAGTGAGGGAATCCCCATGAAATGTTATCATCCGCTTTAGGTCCTTATCATTGGAGATGGTAATTAGGGTCTTCTTGTTACCAGGGAGGAAGTACTTAATAGACATTGTGTTAATACCACAACTAAACATTTCTGACACTTCCTTCTTGAAGTCATCAAACGTCATTTGGTCATCAATATCTATAGCATGCGCATCCCCACCACTGTATGACAACGAACCATCCCTATTAGTCTTGAACTCACCACCCAACTGACAAATTGCTATCATTTTTTTGTCATCCATGACCTGTAAAAGTCAAATAGAATAAATAAGTTTGTTCTGTATCATCAAGAGCAAAATGCAAAGAAGGGCTTAGGTCTAAGTGATGAAAAGAAATGATGGTGAAACAATTAATTGCATAGCCAAAATTGTCCTGATACAAACATGTATTGGGGCAGTATTTCTCTTTAGAAAAAGCTATCAAAACATTTATGAGGTTAATTAACATTAATATTCCAAGCCATGCAAGACAGCAAGATTGTACTAAACAAAATCGCAACAATAAAGTTCATGAGTGAGAGGCGTGAGGTAGAAGAAGATAGAGATATTCATGAAAACCCTAATTCCCAAGACCATAACTCTGGAGGTCAAGAGCAGTGACACCATTGACACTCTCCTTGACACAAAAAAAAACAGAAATTCCTACATAAACTCTTTGAGTTTCTTCTCACGATACAAGCCCTCGTTCTTAACCACGAGACAGCAAACAAGATGTTGCGAACAATGATTCCACATTACATTACTGATATGGTATTCCAGTAATGTCTTCCCTAGATAGTGTTATTAAATCTTTCTGGGTCAAATTGCAGCCAACCCATTTCTGGTTACCTCCTTAATAAAGCCTTACAAGGATGGTTCCAAAAAGACTCCATTATAAGAGTAGCGACCTTTGCCATGTTAAGATCAAAAGGAACATATAATTTTAGTCAATTTAGTTTACAGATTTTGGAAAATAACACCACGAAGACAACAATTCAAAATTCCTGTCTTGAGTTCTCCCTCTTTTTTCACATTCTAATCAACAAAAACCCATATGCAAATCCAAACAAACCCATAAAAAAAAAAAAAAAAAAAAAACCACAAGTTCAGATTATGCAGCTTAAAAAAGCAGAACGCAATTATGTAGGTGAAAAATTCACAAACAAAAACAGCAAGCAAGCCCCAAAATTTGCCCCAGAAAAACACCCAGAATATAAATTTAAAAGTAGGGGAAGATTAAGATAAGGCGAAGAGAGAGAGAACCACACCTCAAAACAAAGGAAAGCGCTGCAATCGTCTTTAGGGTTTCGGCGGGGTAAAGGTAAAGTCTTTGAGTATTGGAGCCGAGTATGAACTCCGGAGACGAATCAAGAACATGTTTTTTCAATCGGAAGCATGTTTTTCCGATTGAGACAACATTTCGTCTGTTCGGAACACAAAATCTCAAGAGGAAGAACACGAGCAGTCCGTCGTCCCCCTTCACTGACACAACGAAACAAAATTTCAACATATATATTTATTATTTTTTCGTTATTATTATTATTATTATTATT